AAATCTTTTAAAAATTAATTTATAAATCCCTATATTTTAACCTTTTATGTTTATGTATTTATGTTTTTAAGTAAGTATTTGTTATATTTCTCACTTCATCCTATGCATATAATAAAAGCATAACTTGATTTCTAGAAGCCATACTGTTTTTAGGTTAATCCTAAGTGACCCAGATAAGTGAAAATTTTTGGCCGGAGTGAACCTTTTGATGTTTTCTAAAGATGCTGGGGAAAGGGAAAAAATTAATCTAAGAATTTTATAAGGGAGTGCCACGGGTAACCTTATAAAAAGGAACCAGGTTCAAGTTTATATGTTATAGGTGGTGAAAAAGAAAAAAGAAAAAAAAGGGATTTATATATGATTCTTAAGAAAGATTTATAGAAAACTAAGGAGAGTACTGAGTAGAACTAAAGTTATTAAAAGATAAAAGTTTATATATATATATATACAACCGTTACAATTTCAAGGTAAGTTGGTGTTCATTGCTGAGACATTTGGGCTAGTGGGGATGGTGGCCGCTACACAATGGCGGATATGGGAAGGGGGTAGCACTAGGGCTATAGTCCGATGCGCCTAGTGCTGCACAAACCGATATCCAAAATAATGTAATAAATTGTCCAATAAAAATAGAAAATTAGTCAAATAGCCCACCATCGATCAACTGTTTGCCGAATTGCACGGTCAATCTCTTCCCAATTTCACTATAATTTTGAGGAAATCAGGCCCATACGCCTTAAAATAACAAAGTTCGGAAAAAAAAAATCCTCGTTTTGAAAAAAATAATAATAAAAAAATAAAATAGATAAACTATGAATTAAACTTTCAAGGGGTGAAAACACAAAATGCATTTTGCATAGAATTCTCTTCAGCGATTCGGATTCAATGCTCATTTTCAAACCCTAACTCTACGATTTTTGTTCGAAATATTTTTGTTTTTACCCTAAATCATGGATTCATGATTGAAGAAGTTGGATCTAGTGTTCTTAAATCGAAATCGACTAAGAGGAAATATGGTGCTGTTGAAGAATCTTCGAGTTTTAAGAAGTAATATATTGATGAAAAACCTTGTATATCGAAGGTTAAGCTTGATTTCTAGTAATTCATTTTTAATATTTCGTGAATTTTGGTTCTCTTATTGTCGATTTTGTATTTACTGCTGTCTTTTGTAATGTTTTTTAGCCCTCCCCCGAATCCCATAGCAGTGTCTTTTATTCGAAATGAAATATCTTTTAACTTTTTATCAAGATAATTTAAATTTATCATATGTTTATATTGAGTCAGAGGAAAAGTTTGATTTTTTTTTTTGACAGAAATCCTCAAAATGACTTGCATATCACTCTTTTTATCCCATGCCTGACTCATAAATTTGATATAAATGGAAAATAAGGAGATTTATATGAAATTTGGAAATTGAATCGTGATGCAATGTTTTACCAAATGCATGCTTGAAGGGAAGCTATTGGATTTATATTGATATCAAGTTCATTTTGTATTGAAATTTTGCTTTGACCTTTTGTTTATTGTGTGATGTGCATGCACATTAATTTCATTTTGTGTTAATTTTTTTGTTATAGTGTTGCATAACCGAGAATGTATAATTAACATCCTTATTATACATTCATGTGTTTCTGTTCTTGAACTTTTGATATACTTTTTGCTCCACACATGGCTGATAATTTTAGCTATGACTTGCGTGGTCCTCCAATTAGTGATGGCAACGGCATTGGGCGCCCCGCCCCATTTCCCCCAAACCCCGCCTTAGAAGGGGCGGGGACGAGACAACTTTTTGCCCCATTTATTGCCCGTTTATTTTTATTTATTTATTCACATTTTCAAAGTTTCAAGTTATGTTATTATTAGAGAATAAAATACAAATTCAAAATGAATTTTTAATGGGTGAATTGTTTAGAAATAAAATTATTTTTAATTTTTTTTTTTTTTTTTTCCTTTCACGGGCGGGTTCGGGTGGGGCATCCTCGCCCCGTCCCTGCACTGTGCCTCGTGACGGGGCGCCCCACCATGCCCCACGAACCCATTCGGGGCGGGCGCGGGTTTTATTGCCATCTCTACCTCCAATTTATCATCTTGAACGCGGTGATGAGATTTTTCTTATTTTGATTACTTTTTGGAGCAAAATAGATGATAGTTTTTTTGTTGATCGTACCACACTTTACATTGAACAAGAATTCATTATAAATTTAGATATAAATTTATCACAAATGAATTTTATGATGTAAAATCTCGTAAGGTACAACTTTCAATAAATAATAATGTTATATTATGACCCTTTATGTTATACTAGTCATTGAACATGCATTGCACGTTATTTTAAATTTCTTTATAAGTGTTATAAAAATAACATTATAATTAGTATAAATTGTTTATGCGTAATGAACTATTAATTCAAACGAAATAAAAATCAATTTGGTAAAAAAGTTTTATCTAAACCGAACTTCAATGAATACTATCATTTTTCCACAATCGCTTAATTTGCATTGAATATATCAATTGAAATTATTTACTATAGATGCGCATTATGTCCCCCCATTTATCTTGTTTATTATATCTTAAAATTTATTGAATAAAATAATTGAAAGAAAAACTTGAAAAACAGTCATATTTTGTTCCGAATTTTATAATGAATTTGATTTTTTCTATCCAATCAAATGGGATGAACATGTCAAATGTACATTGATCATAACTAAATGATTGATAAGATAATTCATGATAATCTTGTTCAAATGATTAAATAAATTAAATACATATTGAACAACGAAAAGTAAGATAATTAATATGTCAAATGTAAATTTATCATAACTAAATAGTTGATAAAATAATTAATGATAATATAGTTCTATTTGAGCCTCATTTTTATTTTCAATTTTGTAGAAAATGGACTTCTAAATAGTGATTTGATGAAGAATGTGTGGTTAAAAAATAATGAAAATTTTTGGAATTGTATGTAATATTATTTTATTGAAAAATGTATTGTTGAAAACAAGATAGAAAATTATATTTTAAAAATAATGAAGACCAAACAAGGTCTAAATACATAATTAAAAAAGAAGAGTAGGGTATTATTAAAATCATTAAATATATATTAAAAAAATGAAAAGCAAGATATTATTGAAATAATTGAATTATAGTAATAATAGAATCGTTCAAAAAATGGTTTTCACTTGATTATATTCATATATCAACTTTTTAAAAAATTCTGTCCCCCGCACTATAAATTCATGGCTCCTTCGGTCCTCCCGTATTGCTATTAATTGTGGGTTTGGAAATCGTTAAGATTATTGATTATGCATTTTTTTGGTCCTACTTAAAAATTGGACTAAAATTTAATTTAAATTTCAAAATTAATTAGAAATACACGTTTCATGAGATCTACAACTTTTTCAACCACACGTTTCATTATTTTTTTAATCAAAATCTATTAAAAATATGGCTATTTAGGAGAAATGGTAGCAAAGATTGGCTATGACTTTTGCGGAAGTGGAGATGGTAGCGAAACCTATTAGTGAGTGGCTTGGTTGTTGTGGAGATGGAGGCGATGATTATTTTGGGGTGCCAAAAATCTTTTTTCCTTTTTCTATTATTTCTTACTAAATTACAAGCATGTTTGGAGTGTTTATAAGTGATTATAAATTATGGGTCATACAGAATATGTAGATAATAAGTAACAATTGTTGCAACTACAAATTATGTAAATAATAAACTATGTTGACAAGCTTAAATTATAATTTGAGATTTGCCAAACAAACCATAAAATTTACCCCTCTAAAAGGCCCACTCATGCAATCATTATGTTTATTTGGATGGATTCAGTGTAAGAGGACATCCGCTGCAAGACTTGTGAAAGTTTGAGGATGGCTCTCCCAAGATTTGAAAGTTGAGGACTCATTTTTACATTTTTTAAATAAGGGGCCAAACTGCAACTTTCCTAATACAATAAGCCTCCTGTTTGAGTCACATTATTTTCAAAAAAATACATTTTTTCATAGTGATTTGATATCATTTCAACCACACATTCTTCAATAAAATAATATTACACACAAATCTAAATCTTTTCTTTATTTTTAGTTACACATTTCCCATTGATTTGACATCAATAATGTATTTTTTCCTATAATGTGGCTCAAACAAGCCCTAAATAATACAATAGGAAAAAAAGGAAAGGGAAAAAAAAAAGAAAAAAAGGAAGGGAAATTCTTATATCTAGGGATGTGTGCGGGTCGGTTCGATTCGGTTCTAAAGAGAACCGAACCGAACCGAATTTTTCGGGTATTTAATAAATGGAACCGTCGGGTCCAAATATAATTATGGAACCGTTCGAGTTCGGTTCTGTTCAATTCAGTTCGGTTCTGTACTATAATTAAATTTTTTAACATTTATAACAACATTATATAAATACAACTAATGATACATTCAATGATTTTGGAATGTCAGAGACTAGTAAACTACCTTATTCAAATGATCGCTACGATCAAAGTTTCGATTGGCGAATGTCACAGTTTCAATCGGAGGTCACAATGTCGGTCGATGATTATATATGTTTTGGAATATTAGCGAGGCTGGGAGAGTGAGTGCGAGAGTCGAGACAATATTATGCACTTTAATGTTGGTGTATAGGGTTATTTAATAGATTTGATCTTGTTTGGCTAAGAAATGAAACAATAAAATGGGTAATTGGGCCAAAAATTAAAAAATTAGAAATAAAACAAATTATTGGGCCAAAAATTTGAATTTAGAAATCGTTAATTTGTTAAGAAAAAATTAAAATTAAAATAATTTGATTTACTTAATATAAAAAAAATTAGAAAGATTTGGTTCTTATTCTAGAACCGAGAACCGAATCGTACTCATTGGTTCTCAATTCAGATACTCGTTCGGATATTTAATTTGACAAGAACCGTTGGATTCGATTCGATCGGATCAGTTCGAGAGATTTGTCCCGTCCTACTTATATCTACAAAGAGCCCACCGCCTCACATCCCCTTCTATAAATCGTATATCTACAGAGACCCCATATAATAACCGCCACGTCCGTCTCGTCTTCGATAAAGCCTAAAATACGCACAATTATCTTCTCTGTCTAGGCTAGGGTTTCTGCCCGGAGTACAATCCGATCTAAGTTTGTTGAAATTCTCTGTTAATCTTTAGGGTTCCAATTTTTCTACAGCACTAATCATGGCGACTGCTTCAGGTTTGTTCCTCCGCTCCCTAATTGTGCTACCTATCAATACGCGCGCACATATGAATGTTTGTTAACCAGTTTTCACAATCCGAAATTAAGCTGAAGTTTTGATCTAATATTTAGTAAATTGCTGTTTTCCCCCTTAAAATGGTGACGTTCGTCGTTTGATATTTTGATTTTATTCAATGTATCTTGAGATTTTATTATATGAATGGCAATCACCTATAAAGGAAAAAGTGGCCTGATTTTCTTTCTTTTTCGGAAAAGATGTTTTTTGTTTATCGAGTTGTTGGTGAATTTAACGCTTTGGGGAAATCGCAGTTGCTTTCAAGTCCAGGGAGGATCATAGGAAACAGATGGAATTAGAAGAGGCACGGAAGGCTGGACTTGCACCGGCTGAGGTTGACGAGGATGGAAAGGAAATTAATCCTCACATCCCACAGTATATGTCATCAGCCCCTTGGTATTTGAATGCAGAGAGACCGGTATGGGATAGACACTGTTATATGCATATATTGCCCTTTTTTTTATTAACTCGTAGTTCACAGTTGGGATAGAAAGGCCTAAATAATTTTTTTCCCTCATTCTTAGAGTTTGAAACATCAAAGGAAGTGGAAATCGGATCCAAATTATACCAAGTCGTGGTACGACAGAGGTGCAAAGATTTTTCAGGCTGACAAGTACAGAAAGGGAGCTTGTGAAAAGTATGCTCTCTCTCCCTCGTGTGTGTGTGTGTGTGTGTGTGTGTGTGTGCACGCATGTCAGTACATAAGGGTGTGCGTGCTGGTTCAAGCATGCGAAGTTAATAATATTTGTTCAAATTTTACTGAAGATTGTAGCTATTTCGTAAGTTCTCTAAATACAAGGTGCAGGCCTGAATTGTGTTCATTTTGCATAGAATAATGTTCACTTATAAAGCATTTTGTTTTAGCCACTTTGGAATCCCTAGGAAGCCTTGGAGTACAATTTGACTTATAATATCCCATCGAATCACATAAGTTTTAGTTTAATATTTATGTATTTACAAAGACCCTGTATGACAGACAGGTGTGAAGGTTCCTGGTCTTTTATCCCCGCTGAATAGAATAAGCCCATGTTTGAGCCTCATCTAGTTAAAACTTTTCTGAAACTCATTTTCAGCCATTCATTTTTCCAATAAAATAATGTTACACGTAAACCCAACTTTTCCCTACTTTAACCATACATTCTCCAAAAAAATCATTACTATAAAATTTATTCTCCAAAAAAAAAAAAAAATGTTGTTCAAACAAACGTTAAGTTTAGACATAGGGTTTTAACACAGTATAAGAGGTGGCTTGGTCAGTGGGTGATTTTTAATTATTCTGTTATATTACCTTTTGGTAAATAGTCCACTTGCCATTGATGCATGTGCATGTTTTATGAAATCTTGCATATCATGTTATTGAGATTGTCATGTTTGAAAATGAGCTTTTTAGAGATACCTTATTAATTTCCAAGAAGCTTTGCTTGGTCTGAGTGGTATTTTGTCCAACGTTAGTGTAAAAATACTGAGTGCATTTGCTCTCAATGTTGATCTGCATTAGCACCAATTAGTGCTCTTTTGTAACTACATAGGATTTAGTAGAATCTTCATGTTTGCACATCAGTTTTGTTGTGTCAACTATTCTCTTACACTGATGTATGTTTCATTTTTATTTAAATTTTAGCTTCTTCAACTTCTGTGTTATACTTTTTTTAGGACATATTTATATCATTGTCTATGTGCTTGCTGCAGTTGTGGAGCTATGACACACAGTGCTAAAACATGCATGGAAAGGCCCCGCAAATTAGGAGCAAAGTGGACAAGCAAAAGCATTGCTCCAGATGAGAAGATAGAGACATTTGAGTTGGATTATGAAGGTAAACGAGACCGTTGGAATGGTTATGATGCTGCATCATATAAACACGTGATTGAAAGGTATGAAGCTAGGGATGAAGCAAGAAAGAAATATTTGAAGGATCAACAGCTTAAGAAGTTGGAGGAGAAAAATAATAACCAAAATGAAGATGGAGTTAGTGACGATGAAGATAATGAAGATGCTCTGAAAGTTGATGAAGCCAAAGTAGATGAGAGTAAGCAGATGGATTTTGCAAAGGTTGAGAAGCGTGTGCGTACTACTGGTGGTGGTAGTACTGGGACTGTTAGGTGAGTTAATATCTTTCTTTCTTAACTAATTTTCTCTAATAAACTGAATCGGCATGTTTGGCTGTGCTTAAAAGCAGCTTTTTAAGTTGCTTTTTTTCATAGTATGTCTCTATATACTTCCAAGAAAAGTATCTTAAGAAGCTTCTTCTATGCACAATTAAACATAGCTATTGTCTCGTACATAGAAGTTTTTGCAATGAAGGTAGGAGTGGACTATGGGTTTGGGGATCTGGGCAGTTCAAATACATATTTTTTTCCTGTAGTCTTGTATGCTACATATTTCTAATGAACTTTATTGTCACGAAAGTTCTGAATCTATTAATATGCCTTTTTGAACAGGAACTTGCGTATTCGAGAGGATACAGCGAAATATCTTCTTAATCTTGATGTTAATTCTGCCCATTATGACCCCAAAACTCGATCTATGCGTGAGGATCCTCTTCCAGATGCAGATCCAAATGAGAAGTTTTATGCAGTAAGTTTTATTCACAGCTCTGAAATCAATTTATGTTTTTGAATGTTTGCATTTATAATATGTATATGTAAGTATCATCATATTGATTTCTGGTTCGTTTGGAATATAGGGTGATAATCAGAATAGAGTTAGTGGTCAAGCTTTGGAGTTCAAGCAGCTAAATATTCATGCTTGGGAAGCATTTGATAAGGGTCAAGATGTTCACATGCAAGCAGCTCCCTCCCAAGCAGAATTGCTTCACAGAAATTTCAAGATAAATAAAGAGAAATTGAAATCTCACACTAAAGACACTATCATGGAGAAATATGGCAATGCAGCTACTGAAGACACACTTCCAAGGGAACTTTTACTGGGTCAAAGTGAGAAAGAAGTCGAATACGATCGTGCTGGAAGGATCATAAAAGGCCAGGTATGGAATAATAATTTTTTGCGCTCTTAATGTACTATTGGTTATATTATGTTAATGCAGATCTGGAAGTACTGTTATGTTTCATCGAAGTAGTCCTTTATCCATGTTTTATTTCTTCATATTTTTGCGAGGGTGGGGGGAGAGGGAGAATGGTTTAGTCTTCATCAGATCACTAATTACTTTCAGGATGTTTACTTTCTTTAAAAAAAAGAAATGCATGGTTGCTTTGCCTCTTGTGATTTCTTTTTCTTTATTGTGGGAAGGAAAATATGAGTGGTAGGGTCAGGAGAGGCAAAAGATTTATTGACAGTTTCGATGCAAAAGGGAGAAGCCATTGCTACTAATTTTGTTCTACTTCCGTCTTAGTAGTGGTTTTTGGATTAATCTAGAACTTATGTTTTTCCTTCATCGAATTAGAACCTATAGGGCCTTGAAGTGCAGGGCCTAACTTGGTGGTTGTATGGAATGTGCAGGAGATATCCCTTCCGAAGAGCAAGTATGAAGAGGATGTTTATATAAACAACCACACCAGTGTTTGGGGTTCCTGGTGGAAAGATCATCAGTGGGGTTACAAATGTTGCCAACAGACGGTTAGAAACAGCTATTGTACGGGTGCTGCTGGCATCGAAGCGGCCGAAGCTGCTGCAGATCTTATGAAAGCTAACATTGCTCGTAAAGAGGCTAATGAAGGTTAGTATTTCTCCTTTGATGTGTACATCGAGCAGAAATCGTTAGAAGGCTATTGGGTTGAATTTTAAAATCTCGCATCATATGCAAATAATTTTAAAGGATCACATAGGTTTTGGTGGATAGGTAATGTTAACAGGCTTTAATGCTGCTGTTAGCTTTTGAACGTTCTACTTACATATGATGGGACTTATGATTCACTAGTTGCACAAAAGCTGTTGGTGACCCAAAAAATGGCTCCTGAAACGGCAAAGAGGGGGAAAAAAACTGTTGCGGCAATAGGCACAAGTTCTTTGTATAGTGAGTTAATGATGAATATCTAGTAAAACTTAATAGATATCCTAAGAAATCAATCTTGATAACTAACAGCATAGCTGTACTCTGATGCCTAAAAACATATTCTTGTGCATTTTTTGTGTGTGTGTGTGTGTGTGTTTTTCTCTGGACTGCGTGAAACATACATTAGCACCTAAATAATTTAATGCTCAATAAATTAATAACTTCGGTTAAATAATATTTTTGGCCAGTCCCAACTTCTTGGGGATAACGAGCTAAATTAATAATTCGCTAAATTTATGAGATAATACATTATAAAAAATTCATATAGATTCCATTTAATTAATAATTTATTAATTTCCTGATTGATAGTGCATATGATTTGACACAAGGCATTCCTAAATTGACTCAATCATTGTTTGTTTCTTCTTGAAATTGTTGTCGCATTGGATCTCATCTTTAACTTTTCTTAACAAGTACATTTGGTGTGGTTTTCTCGTACCACGAGGAAAAAAAATTCAATGTCATCACTAAGAACTTCATTTTGCGAACGGGCTCCATGGAAGATTTTTTACTTGGCCCTTGTTTGAGCCCCATTTTTTGGGGAATAATTAATTTTTGAATAGTGTATTGAAGGGAAATGTGTGGTTAAAAAATAAGAAAATGTTTTGAATTTGCGTGTAATATTATTTTATTAAAGAATGTGTGGTTGAAATGATGGCAAAACGCTATTGAAAAATGAATTTTTCCAAAAGAATGGGGCTCAAACAAGGGCTTAGTTAAATGTCCAAAAAATGGAATAATTTATAGTACATTGAACAATGTACAATTTATTTTTTTGAGAAAAATAAAGTAAATTCATGAATTTTACTTGGTTAAACAAATACATAGAATATTTTATTCTTAAAATGAGAGACTAAGAGGGTGTTTGGTATTAATTAAAATTAGATTTTTTTAGTAGATTGTGATAGAGTCTTGGAAATGTGTGGTTGAAAAGTTGTGGGACGCTTGAAAGATGTGGTTAATATTAATTGTTTGACTTTGATTTATAGATTAAAATCAGATTTTAATCTATACCAAACATGCTGTAAATACAATTAGAAAATAAAGAATACCGTAATAAATTAAAAAGTTGTTAATTTATTGTTATAATTATCGATTTATATAATAATCGCTAAATTAATATATTTTCCTTGGGCTCAAGTTTATTAATTTATAGATTATATTGAATCATTGTTTTTGGTTCTGACTTTTTTTTTTTTTGGAAACCAGATATGCCTGCACCAGCTCAGGAGAAAAGACTTGCCACTTGGGGTTCGGAAGTTCCAGAAGATTTAGTTTTAGATGAGGAAAAACTGGTTGAAGCCCTAAAGAAGGTAAATCTTTTTATCTATATCTTTATTTCTTCTCGTTAGCCTCGTTTGCAATTTTTTTTTTTTTTCCTTGCCTATTTTTGGATTATAATTTCAACTTTCCTCCTGAAGATTAAAGGGAATAAAGAGGAACTTTATATTTTAATCCTTTATGTTAAATGATGATCATCTTAATGGTATATGTTGTTCAAATGGATTATACTTATTATCTTGTTATAATGTGTAGTGTTATTTGACACGTTTGTTTGTTTGTTTTGCTTAGGAGGACGAAAGGAGGAGAGGAGAGGAGAAGGATGAAAGAAAACGCAAATATAATGTGAAGTGGAATGATGATGTACGTTTATTTTCTTTTATCCTCCTTCCACAAGTAATGAGCATGTGCGCGAGAGAGATTCTAACCACCTGTTTCTTGCAGGTTACACCCGAAGAGATGGAGGCGTACAGGATGAAGAGGGTCCATCATGACGATCCAATGAAGGATTTTCTTAATTGAAGCGTGTATTAGATTTTCCGAACTATGAAACTCTTGTTTGCATCATGATGTTGAAACGCATGTTTATGCTTTTACAATTTCATAAAATAAACTACTATTGTACATTATCGTGTCCTTGGAACGCTGTAATTGCTGGATGCTTCATTCGTATTGCTGGTTTGAGTGCCTAGTGAATTTATGAGTGACTGACTTGTTAAAGCTAGGAAGTTGATGCTTTGGCCTGCCCTAGTTACAATGGCAAAGTGTTGTTGAATGAGATCACTTCAATACATTTTGGTTTGTAGTCGAATCTTTTAATATTATTAATAAAATGCTGAGATGGGTAGATGATGAGAGTGCTAAAGACGTTTGCACCTCTCATCTTCGACAATCTTCCGCGAAAAAGGAAACCATTGGAAACTTAAAACGTTACTGCTTTGGTTCTGCATAGCGTTAAAGATCCTCCTTATTTCCTTGGTCCTTTATCTTTGGAACTCGTGTTGGATCCAGTAATTGTTGAGTCAGGCCAAACTTACGTGTGATGCCATTCAGAAATGGCTCGATCAAGGGTTAGGCACGTACCCTAAAACTTGTCAAAAGCTCTGACAGAGAAATCTGATTACTAATTACACAATTGATAAGTGTATTTTATACACTTATTCGGTATCTAAAATAATGATATTTGATGGTTTTTTTTACAAATTATATCCTAAATTTTTGTATTTTATGTTTAATAGGTAAATGTTAGCATGAAAAGGGAATTGAAGGAAAGAAGCACAAACTGGCGAAAAATGGCAAAATTCAAAGTACAAGGACAGACTTTCATTACTTGGAAAAGATGAATCTTTGAAAAAATACTACATTAATTGGGCCGCATTTGGACTTTGGAATAAAGGTCACAAGTCAGTTGGACCTTTACTGGATTATAATTAAATTCAAACCTAGACTAATTGTAATGGGAATTGAATTCAAATGGGATTTGAATTATGAAAGGATACAAATTTTATTTGGTCCACGCACAGGTGACGGAATTGGAGTTGAATTTGGTGGCAACTAGGTTTGAGTTATATACATATACACGTCCACTACACAGAAAAGGTAGGGCGGCTGGGAGAAGAATTAGACTTCAATTTGGAGTCAATTTTTGCGGCTGCTGCGAGGAGAAGAGACCTACCACATTATCAATTAATATATCTCATACGTCGAAATAGACGCAGAACACGTAGAGGAGAAAAGAACACATTGCAGTTGGCTGGAGAGAAAATACATTCACAAGAGAAGTCGGCAGTTGATTTCTTTTTGGGGGAGTCTCTCTTCCAATTTAAAAAGTTGACAGCTGCTTGGGGATTTTTGGCAAAAACACTGAGGAGGAAACACGCACTGAAGACGAGGAGGCTGCCGGTTGCTGGAATTAAATAGCTAAACATACAATTGGCAGCAGCTTGGAGAAAGAATAAAGGGCTGATTCTTATTGAAATCAACTACATACATAAACAGGAACAAAAATATAGAAAGTCAGCAGCTTTGGGCGAATACAAGCTGACTTCCAGTGGCGAATCCAGCATCAACATTCAGCTAGGACGGAGATTGATTTTGACCATCGACGATCGTAAAAGCCCGGTCCGATCGGCGGCCGATCGTTTATTAAAATTAGATTAAATAATATTAAAAATTATTCAATATATATGTAAATGCACTAAAATCTAGAAAATATATACATGTGAAAATATAGTTCAATATAACCCAAAATGTTAAAAAAATATACAATACAACCTTACTCTGAAATTGCAAGCTTAGATAACTGAATTTTACGAGGTCGCATATTTTGAAAAACGTTGCAATATTGTCTCATTCTCAAGTTTCATAAAAAGATCTCTCTCCATGTAAACTACCAAATTGTCATTCAACAATTTATCTCTCATTTTGTTGCGCAGATTATTCTTGATTAGATTCATAGCAGAGAATACCCTTTCAACACTTGTAGTTGCCACAGGTAATATCAAAACCAATGTGATCAGCCTATAAACCAATGGAAAATAACAAGAATTTTCAGTTTCAACCAACTTCTGAGCTACACAAGATATGCTTTTGAGGTTGAAAAAAGCTTCATCCATTCTCACGAGCATAAGAAATTTGTCAAGTTGAGGTCTAAGTAATAAGAGCTCTTCACTATTAAAATCCATAGGATATAACTGAGCAAGTCGTACCAATTTACATACATCAAAAGTTGCAAATGAATCTCTTGAACTTAAACACGAAATGCAAGTAAAAAGCTCAGTAGTTGTTTCTGGAAAACGATCATTCAACTCTTGCAAAATTGAATCTATCACATAACAAAACAAATCAGCATAAAAACAATGATAATAAGTCACCTGCTGACTTGCACGCCTAGGTCGACCTTTCAATACTACAATATCATCCATATTGGGTACTGAAATATGTCTATCAACACAAAACTGAATTACCTTACTCAACAAAGTATCCCAGCCATTGTCTCTCATGTTCTGCAATGCGTATTTACACAACTTCAATAATCTCATAACATTCTGATTATCGTGATCATTTTTCTGTAAGGCTTGTGAAAAGTCGTCTGTAATTGCAAGAATTTCAAACATAAAATGAAGACTGAACACAAATTGAAAATCTTGCATAGTGTCCATCTGTCTTATGGACATTGATTTTTGCTATAAACTTGTGCCGTCTTCTGATATATTCTCAAGAACATCTATGATCGCATTAAACATACTAATAAAGCGAGTAACTGTCTTTAGATGTGAGCCCCATCTAGTATCACCTGGGCGTGCCAAACTCATTTCTTGAAACTGACCAGTTCCACCAGAAAGTTCCTCAATATTAAGCCTCTCCAGAATTTCAACATGATAACTTGTTCGAAGAGCATCTACATGTTTACATGATGCACCAACCAAATTCACAATAATAGCAAGCATGTTAAATAAATCACTGAGCATAACATTCCTATGTGCCACAGAAACAACTGCCCACTGAAGCTGGTGAGCAAAGCAATGAATATATATAGCACATGGGTTCTCTCTTAAAATTAAAACTTTTAAGCCATTGAACTCACCTGACATATTGCTTGCTCCATCATAACTTTGACCTCTTAGACTAAATATGCTCAACCTATGTGTAGAAAATATTGCATCAATGGCATCCTTGAGTGATTGGGCACAAGTATCAGCGATGTGGCAAATGCCCAACAAACGCTCCTTCACTTTCCCACTTTTGTCAACAAATCTCAAAACAACTATCATTTGTTCTTTTATAGAATTATCACGAGACTCATCAACCAAAATTGAAAACAAGGAATCGCCCATCTCATTGATCATAGACCTTGTCGTCTCTACAGCACAACAATCAACCAAATCCTTATGGATGCTTGGTGAAGTCATTTGGTCATTTCTAGGAGCATTACTAAATAGTACTTCATTAATTTTCTTACGACGAGCTACATACCAATTTAGTAGCTCAATTAGATTTCCTTTATTAGGAGACTCTTTCGATTCATCATGACCACGAGATGGCAATCCTTGCATCAAGAGGAATCTAATACAGTCTAGCACCGCAGTCAACCTTGTCCTATAATTTTTTTGTTGACTACTACTTTGGTTAGAAATAACATGGGAGATACTTTGCTTCTGATTCATCAAATTGGTACACTTTGCAAAAGCTTGATTATGAGCACTATCAATGAGCCCGACATGATCTTTCAATGTACTTTTGTGCTTCCAATCCCTAAAGCGAGTCTTAGTGAATATATGTCCATCCCCTTGACCCCCTCTATCTGGTTTGAATATGTAGCAATGCAAACAATAAGCCGCATCATTTTCTATACTGTACTCCAACCAATAAAATTCAGAAAACCATTCTTTTCAAAAACACCTATTATCATTTCCTATCCGTCTTCTTGGAAAGTCATGTCCATGTGGTTGACAAGGATCTTTTTGCAAATATACCATCCTAACATCATCTCTGATATTAGGATCATATGACTCGATAGGGAGGCATTTTCCTGAATCGGATATAAGATCACCCACATTGAATTGAGCCCGAGACTTCTTTGTGCTGTTTAACAACTTGAATGCTCGGCTAGAAGCAGTGGCGGGACTAGAAGCACAACTAGAACTAGGAGAACTAGGTATAGACTTTCTTTTCGGTTGAAAAAATCATTCCATAATCTGCAAAATGCCCCAATTTAATTTTCAATTACAATTGATTAAAAAATAAACAATTCAACAAAAAAATCCCCAAGAGTTAGATAACAACGTATTAGAAAAATCAAACACTAAAAAATTAGTCAAAGTAGCAAAGTTGCCTAAACAATCATCTAGCTAGTAGATCACCAATTTCATTAGATCTTCAGAATACACTTTCCTTGACATAATTGATATCAGTTAATAGATATGACTAATCAAAGCTTTGCCACAAAACCCTATCCCTAGAACCATTTATATTCAACAGAGTGGCTGTTATATACTTATATTCATACCATTTTCATTTACATACAGCTCAATAGACAATACAATAGGATCTCCTCCACTGCTAACTTATGACTTATGAGATAAATTTTGAAAATACAAAAAAGTGTAAACCACTAAATCTTCAATAGCCATTCAAAATTCAGGCAGCCATCAAGAAAACAAATAATAAAGTATCTTATCAAATGAGAACCCTAGAAGAGAAAGTAACATCTGGACTGAATTGACAGCAAACCTATATACCTCCAATTTAACATTGCAATTTATTCCCATTTTTCATTCGATATTTTGTTAAGACCCAACTCCTAGACACCAATTGTGTGTTTGGTTAGGTGGACTACACAATATTTAGACAATAGTAAACACAAAAATAAGTTAAAATTTTATTTTCTTGTCTATTCTATTGACCAATCTTAACCAGTACAATAGCATTAAAGAAGAAAATAATAGCAGAGTGCAGTGCAATAGCATTTCAACTCATTTACTTCGACGTTCACATAATCAGTATTCAGTAATCACTTTAATAAATTCCCACAAGTATTGCAAAATATATAAAAATGTGAAAAATATTAGAAAAATTTTAGAGCTGGAGCCTGGAGTTGCAAACTTGCAGCCAAAATGAAATCCAAGATTTTTGGAAAATTAGATCAATGTCAGTATATCACAATTCACATGCACGAATCACCGAACATCAAATAACTAAAAGTCTAAAAGAATCTTGCATTTTTTGAAGCGGAGTGAGACCTGTGCGGGTTGCCTGCTTCACTGGACTCGGTGGCGGTCTGGCGAGTGGCGTCGGTGCCATCTACAACAGTGCAGTGTCTACTGGCTGTTGCGGCCTGCGGTAGTGGTGGACCGGTGGTTGACAGCTAAGACAGGGAGAGCCCTAGTTTGGTAAATGGTAATGGTGGGTGGTGGCAATTTGGGAAAAAATCTGGGACTCTAGTCACTGCATCTCTGCTTCGGGTTGTAAAAATCTGGGTATATGGTTTGGAGTGGAGCAGGCTGCAGGTCATTTGGGCTTCTTTAATTGGGTCGGATTTAAAAAAAAAATTTGAAGCCCAACAGCCAACAATCACGACACTGAACTCTGAAGGAAAAAAAATCGACTCTCCAGCGGTCGGCGTGGCGGTTCTAGTGAAGCCAGCTAGGGCGGCCGCCCTAGCTGGCCATAAGCTACATCCACCACTGCTGACTTCTTCAATTAATAAATTCAATGGTTGCAAGATACATGTACACGCACAGGAATAAGAAATTGAATAATAAGAGAAAACGAGCTGCTTGCTGGAAATTAAATGAGCTACCTGCTGGAATTTATATACATTAAAGATAGGAGATGTCGGCCAATTTGTTGGTCTTAAAATTCAACAATTGCAACATATTGTGAAAATAAAACGAGCTGCATGCTGGAATTTTATACACACTAGAAATCGTCAAAATTTTTGTTGATGTCTTTTAACTCTTCCATGTTTAATTTCGACATTATGCATGGCTAGACTTTTATATTGCTAGGATATGATGAACTCTTGTTATGAATTTTTGGTTTGAATAATTAGATTGACATAAAATTTGTTTGAAGTCTTGGGTGTTTATTATGGTTTAAATTGCTTTTCAATTATCTGGCCATTGATTGAATTGTTTGTGAATTTTATTATCATCGAGAGAGGTAATAAGATCGTTAGCACATAGTAATAAATATTGTGAGGTTCAATAGAGAATAGAGATATACCTCTATGCTTCATATGATTTTCATAAAATGTTCTAGATCATTTAATGCATTTATCATGTTCTCATCTTTTATCGAGGGATAGGAGGTCGCATGAAGGAAATAAAATTGATAACTATCGAGAGAGGGTTTCAATTAAAATAGGAACATTGATCAACAAGCATGATTTCAAATTGTCAATTTAAATTGTCGAACTAAAAATGGATTAGCAAGGGGGACTTCACATCTTAGCAATACTTCTCACGAATTTGATAAATTCTTACTTTGCTTTCAATTTAGTTGCCAGATTTAATATTGTTTAGTCATAACTTGATTTTATTATTCGATTAAGGGTATTATTAATTTTAACTAGATCAAACACAGTCCTCGTGGGTTTGACACTCTACAGACTACTTTATTACTTGCTCACAATCCCGTTCACTTGCAAATAATCAAACGACCAAGTTTTTGACGTCATTGTCGAGGACTATATTTTTTTGACTAGTTTTAGTTAATTTTAACTTTAATCTAATTTTATTTTTTATTTTTAGTTTAGTTCATTAATTTAGAAAATTTTTACAGTGTTTCTTGCTTTCCTTTTCATGATTTTGTATGCGAAGTTCGAGAATTGGTGATCTTGCTCAATTTGACCCAGAAATCGAACGAACATTCAACTTTCAAAGAAGACAACAACTTGAAACACGCCAAAAACAGAAAGAAAAAGACATGGCAAACGCGAATTCAAATCAAATAGCCATCGAGGCTAATATGGGAGTAGCACAATTGAATATAGCTGTAGTGAATGAAAATGCAAGGCTCATGGGAGAGGATATGATTCCACCAGTAGTGGAAAGCCAGTCCAGTATCGTATATCTGGCGTTTGGTTAGGTAAACTTTCACCTGAGGACAGATGCCATCAACATGTTTCATAATGCGCTACAATTTTTTCGGAAAGCTACAGAGAATCCCAACGCTCATATATCAAGATTTCTGGACATGTGTGCAACAATTGAGTATCCGGGGGTTTCAAACGAAGCAATTAGACTAAGGCTCTTTCCATACACATTAAGAGACTTAGCAAGGGAATGGTTAGACAATTGCCCTCCACAGAGCATCACAACATGGAACTAATTGAGTCAGAAATTTCTTAACAAATATTTCCCATCGAAAATGATTGCAAAGTTAAGGGACGAGATCACTACTTTTCATCAAATGGACTCAGAATGCTATTCAGAGGCTTGGGAACGATACAAGGGTTTACTTCGCCAATGCCCATAACATGGATTGTAGAAGTGGCTTCAAGTGCAATACTTCTACATTGGTTTGAACTCGATTAGCACGGCTAACGTAGACTCTGCATGCGATGGTTCTATCACAAAAAAAATCATGAACTAGGTCTACCAAATCATGGAAAACTTGGCATTTACCAGTGCACTTTGGCCTACTGAAAGAACTATTAGAAAGAAAGCTGCTGGAGTATTCGAAGTTGATTCTTTAACAGCACTTTCAGCACAATTGACACAGAATGTAGATCAGATGAGTGTAGCCTAGACAGTGAGATCGAAATGCAAACATTGTGGAGGGAATCATGAGAGTGTTGATTGTAACGTAGGATCTTTTTTTGCTCAGACAGTAGAAGACGTGAACTACGCTCATAATTTTTAAAGGCAACAACACAATCCAAATCCTAACACATATTACCTAGGCTGAAGAAATCACCTAGGTTTTCGATGGAGTAATAATCAGGGAGCTCAAATTGTGCCACAGCAGACTGCACCGCCAGGTTTTCAACAGGCTGAAAATAAGTCTTCATTGGAAGATCTTGTTACTAAATTGGCGGAGATCTCTACTCAACACATGCAAAGAACAGATAAAACTTTACAAGTTTAGGGAGCTGCTATCAAGAATATAGAAAATCAGATGGAACAAATAGCAAAAGCATTCTCAGAAAGACAGCAAGGAACACTACCAAGTGGCATAGAAACAAATCCTAAACAACAGGTAATGGCAGTAAAAGTTATGCAGAGTGAGGAGATTAAGGCAATCACTGCACGCAGCGGGGTTAAGCTTCCACAAATTATAGTTGAGAAACGGGTGACAGAAAATAAAAAGGCACCTTTTTCCAGGTGAGGAGTAGGTGGATAAATCTGTACAACTAGACAAAGTAGTACCATCTCAAGAGCTATAAAATCTACAAGTGAAGGCAACCACTCCTATCAAACCATATGTGCCTCCGGTCCCATTTCCACAGAGATTGCAAAAAAGGAAGCTGGAAGAACAGTTTTCAAAGTTCTTGGATACCTTCAGGAAGCTTCATGTCAATATCCCATTGATTGAAGTTTTATCTCAAATATCAAACTATGCAAAATTTTTGAAGGAGATCCTATCAAAAAAGAGAAAGCTTGCAGATTTTGAGACCATCAAGTTAAATGAAGAGCGTAGTGCCATCTTGCAGAACAAATTACCTCATAAGCTATAAGATCCAGGGAGTCTCAAAATACCTTGCTCAATAGAGAATGGTTCGAATTTTAATTGTATATGTAACTCAGGAGCAAGTATAAACTAATGCCTTTCTCTATATACAGGAAATTAGGATTGGAAGAACTAAAAGACATATCCATCTCCCTCCAATTGGCAGACAGATCAATCAAATACCCGCGAGGAGTGGTTGAGAACGTGCTCATTAAAGTGGGCAAATTCATATTCCTCGTTGATTTTGTTGTCCTAGATATAAAGGAGCCATGGGATGTAGCGTTACTTATCTTGGGCAGATCCTTCCTATCAACAAGTCGAGCTGTCATGGACTTTGAAAGTAGCAAACTAACATTGAGAGCGGAAGATAAACAAGAGAAGTTTAAGATCTACAACACTATCGAGAATCTGTTACAATAAGAGATCAGCAAAAAGGCTAAGGAGGAGTGCAAGAATATTGCTGCAAATATGCAACAAGGCTCAAAGGAGATAGAGCCTGAACATCTAGTGAGCGTCGGACGAGAGAACAACGGAGGGTTCAAGGTTTGGAGGGCAAAACGAGGCTGCAAAACCGGAAATTGCAAGGATTGCAAAAGCTCAAACCACCTATTTAAGCCACCATAATCAATTCCTCAGTACAGTCTAGCTAAAGACTATAAATTAAGCGCTAATTGGGAGGCAACCCAATTTTCTAACTCTTTTATTCATTTTACTTTTGGCACCACATTTTCATGTCGATTTATTTTGATTATTGGTTTGCATTAGATTTAGACACGTTTAAAATTGCAGGGTATCGCCATCCTATTACATTTCCCATTTAGACCCTTGAATTTACTGTTGGTTATTTAATTGTTTGAGCTAAGTAACACATATTTTAGGTTATTTGATCTCTAATATTTGATTTGATTGCAATATGCAGAAACATGATGTCGTGAAACACAAACCAACATAGATAAAGGGAAAATCATGATGAAGAAGTTTGTCTGGCCGTCACCTATAGTCCCTTCTACGCTCAACAGAAAAATTTGGGAGTACCTCTATCCTTTCTTTTCCCGTCCACTTATATTCTTAATTATGCTTTAAGACGTTGAGGACAATATTGAGTTTAAGTTTGGGGGTGAAAAAACTTTTATTTTCTATTTTTTTTTATATGTTTTTGTGTGTTTGAAAAAAAAAAAGAAAAAAAATCGAAAAAAAATCTCTTTTGTTCAATTGGGTGCTTGTGTGGGTGAAATAGTCTGGCAGACAATGATGATTTAATTTGAGATTTGGTGTTGACTTATAAATTGTGGATAGGATGCATGTTAGATTAATTGAAGTTTAGCTTTGCAAAACTTGATATTACAAGCGCACTAGAATTGAGTTTGACATTGTGATTAAATGAGTTGTTTCTCACTTTTGATAGGTTGATATAGTTGAACATAGATGCTTTACCTAAACCGTATTAAATTATCTATCGTTAGACCAAATTTAGCACAGTTTGTGGGTGATTTTACAATTGTAGGAAGATACGGATGTGAAAGTGGATTTCATGTGTGAAAATTTATGTGTGAATTGTCTTAGACTAACATGATAAAACTCGATGAAAGTCTTAAGTTAGAGGTTGGTTTGTTTGAATAAGTGTAATAAGGGGCATTGCTCTAATCAAAGCATATACATTTAAAATTTTAAACTTTCTTCTGAAACCTTTATGATTCGAGTAATTAAGCCAGTAAGGGTATCTTAAAACCTGGTACCCTCAAGTCGTCTGACTTAGGAGTCATCAGCTTAAAGCTCACTACAAGGGTCATCTAGAAAACTTAATGGAGAGAATGTAAAAATAAATAATAATAATAATAATAATAATAATAATAATAATAATAATAATAATAATAAATAATAAATTGTGAAAAATAGAAAAAGCAAGTGTATGAAAAGAGCAAAAGTACTAAATACCTTGGTTAAGCCCTAACATTTATTTGAGAGAATTTGACTTTTGATGCAAGATAATTAGCTAGTTGAGTCATGATGGTCGAAACAATCAAATTAATTGGAGAATCCCTGTTCACTGAAATGGTGACTTGCAACTAACAACGTCTACCTAAACTCGAGAAGGTGAGGATAGTAATGAAAAAGTCAACATTAGCTCACAATGGAGAAATAGTGAAAAAGAATAAGTTGGGAGTGTGTGAATCTTACGAGTGATGAAAGGACATATATGACCATTAAGGGTCAGGAATTGGAATGACTTATGAAGTCATTAATGTCTACTTAATCCTTCACACACACACATACGTCGGTTTTGCATTGGTAAAGTGGATATTTGTTTGGTATCGTGACTTTGAAACGATTTGTAGATTTGATATCATGATTTCAATTCTTTGGGCAAAAAGCTAAATTGTCCAACCAAATATTTTTGCATGCTTGTGTGTTGGTTATTATTTAGGTTATAGTTTTATTTGAGGACAAACAAATGTTTAAGTTTGGGGGTAGTCAAGGCTCTAGTAACAAATTAGCGTGACAAAAATGAGATAAAACTCTCCAACAACCCTGACGTTCAAATGATGTCTTGGTTCAATCCCATTCTGTACGTACCAGTCAAGAAGATGATCCAAATATCCTTTGCAAAGGACAAATTTAAACATCAAGATTTTGTTTCCAAGTTATACGTGCTCCTGAGAAGAAAAAAGGTTAACTATTCTTCTAGATTCAGTAAAGAATATGCCGGTGCTGTTGGAGAAATTTCAGCGGATTGGAGTAGAAATCACAAAATATGAACCGAAAACGCCAATAACAAGATAATCACGAATTTGTATTAACGAATGGCTTGAACACGATATCGTTGTCTTCAAAGGATATTCGTCCATTCTCCTATGAATTTGAGATGCTTCGAAGGTTGTTGGCAAATGGTTTGCAGGATTATAACAAGCCTTGCAAGGATTTAAGCACCAAAGTACAAGTGCAAATCCTAGAAAACTCAAAGAACACAAAGAATGAATATGAATATGACTTTTAAAGACTTTGATA